GATGGATCCCAGACTTCATGAATTTAAGCGTTCTACTAGGCTGGCATCTCGCTCTCACCTTTTCACTGTCGAAACTGTTAAATGTAGCCGTCTCTTCCACTCCAATAGCTTCACATCTCGCACTTCTCGCCTGTGGAACTCTCTCCCCATTTCTTGTTTCCCTGATAGCTATAATCTCCAACTATTCAAATGTAACGTCAATCGACGTCTCCAGATGCCTTGATCGATCCCCTATCCTTCTTTTCATCCTTTCCTCTATTACTTCTCTTGTTCTAGCTCCAACTTTGTAACCCCTTGCGTGCTAGTGGCTTCCCGTCTTGCTTGGGGTGAAACGCTTTAAAAAAAAAATAGGGGATCTTTCATTAATGTTATGGTCGTCTTCAGCTATCCCTTGTAAATTCTTGAGTATTTCAGTCCTTTACCTTTTTTATTTGCCGTGTTTATGATTTTGGTGGTTGGCAGGACCGATCCTTACATGGAACATTCGTCTACAATCTGATCTTTGGCGCCGATCTGAGTTGGATTTGGCGAGCCTTCTGTTTTCGCCGCTCGAACTTGTACCATGAAAAATATAACAACGTTAGAGACGTAATTACTAACGATGTGGATGTAATATCCGACCACAGTTGAGGATATAAGTGTTACCAACAACGAACAAATGGTTGTAATGACACAAGTACACAGGCGTAGGCTTTAAGAAAGCTTTATTCAACTGAGAATACAAGGTTCACGTATAGTGTCCTTTTATAGTCCCAGTAAACAGAAATAGTTCTCTCAAAGAGGAGAGAGTAACAAAACAAGGGGAGACCACTCTTGATTATTCATAACAGTGGTACTCGGCACAACGAGAGAAACTCAGGATTCACCGGCAAATTTAACAATTGATATCGTAAAACAAATAGGCGAACAATGACGACAACAGTAAAATAATATGACAAAAGGATTCCAGCTATTGAATCACGAAAAAAAAAAAAAAACATTTTTCTATTAATAATTTTTTTCCCCTTTATTTGAACAATCGAAACAATAATGTTTATTTCGAGGGCGTGGAAAATCCGCATTTTATAAAGCAGGCAGCGATTGCCTGAAAGTATTTAAATATTATTATTAGCTCATTTTTTAACAATCGAGCGTGACTCACAATGCGAACACGTCGCCATGAAACAATTATTAGCAAGCTGATTTCATAGAGCATTACTTGTTTTGTTTGTTTTTAGTAAATTCGTACCTCACTAAGTGCTAAATATATTAAATGCATTTAGGTTGAAGCAGTTGCGAAGATTCCACTGAGGTCAGTAGACAGGTAAAAAAGCCAAGATTTCAAATTCTGTCATTAGGCCTTGAAAGAACTTCGTAAATATCAAAAGTTGGTAACGAATCTTATTTAACCATTGTTTAGGAATGTTTCAGAGGAGAATAATCGAGGTCGTTATGAATTCTTGAACATGACGGACTGTCGGCACATTTTACTCTGGGAATAAATAATTTCTCGGGATCAAATTTGAGGGATGATAAATTGGATGTGGCATGGCTTATGCGATGTTCAGGTTTAATACGTTTCATAATAGGTTCTGAAGGAACAACCTGGTAACACTTGTTTCGATACTATCTATTTATCTATCTATCTCAGTTAAAAATAGCTATCTATCTCAGTCTGTTCCTATCTATATATCTTATCCACATCTATCTATCTATCTATCTATCTATCTATCTATCTATCTATCTATCTATCTATCCTACACAGTATATATTTATCTTGATAACCTTTGATTGAATACTCTAATATTCTAACCCCACCCACAGCAACTGTAAAATAATTTACAATTTGTAAGTTATTTTCGTATAGACAAAAGGAAAAAAAACTATTGTGTTCATTGTTAATGATTTGACTATAGGTAAAATATAAATTGAATGAAATGATTTTATTATACAAATGCACTAATAATCCGTTTGTAAACAAACTACAATAATTTACTTGCTTTGCGTAATTTAGTCCAAGTATAAAAGTCATTATTAATTTTTAACTCGTATTTGCGTCATCTTAATTTCAGTTGCTTTTTTATCACATTTGCACGAACTAATACTTGATACTAAGATCATTTCAGTAAACAGAACATATTCGAAATGGCGACAGAATAAACCCTCGGTTCGATTCGAACTCGCATTCTTTCTGTCTCGGGCAGCAAAATGTAAAAGTTAAGTTTAAATAATTACATTTGATCATTTGCCGACCATAAATGTTTCTATCTATCTCAGTCTGTTCGTATGTATGTATGTATGTATGTATGTATGTATGTATGTATGTATGTATCTATCTATCTATCTATCTATCTATCTATCTATCATATAATAACTCAATAAAAACTCAATCATGGCATAGCTTCTTACAATCCAAGCTTAGCTATTTAAAATAAAAGAGAAAATCTCGGAGCTCCACGGTTCTACATTTCTGCTTTATATTAACGACCTGCCTATGAACATTCCCTGATCATTAGTAAATATATAGAGAGAGACGATACCAAGGTTTATAGGTACTCCCCCCCCCCCATTTAAATGATCAGAGTCTGGCAACTGATCACTCTTCTGACTTAGTTCTCAAAGCTTAGTGTGGTACCAATACTTTCCAAACTAAGCTAGTAACGTTTCATCAACGATCAAACTTTGAATGTTCTCCAGCCATTGAGGTCATATTCAAACATGGAAAAGGCTATGGAAGTAAATCCAGATAAAAACCCGGAGTAAAGCCCCGATGGTTTTTGTTGTCTGGCAATATTGACAACCTTCTGGCAACTCCTGCAGGCAAGCCGGCTCCAAATGTAAAGCCCTGTGTCCCTTTGGATCATGTCGGTAGGGCCAAGTAGGGGAGGGGGCATGTAGTCTGAGCTTCGCACGACTTCCATATACCGTCGCTCAGGCCTGTGCCCTGGAGAGATCACACCAGTGTCACTACCAAAGGACTGAATTTTGACCAGACACTTCTGTCAGATCCCCACCTCGCAAAAAATAGAAGTGAAAACGTAGTTTAATCGTATATTAAACTAACCTACCCCACATTCCCTGTCCCCAAAATGGCTGAAAGGATATTTTCTAGAGTTTACACTAGAAAGGAGGCGCGGTGGAGTAATGGATAGCGGCTCGGATTCGAACCGAGTTCGAGTTCCAGTCGAATCCATTACATTCACTTACGTGCTAATACCCTTGGGAAAGTTATGAATCCTCTTCTTCTCCCCCCATAGCAGGATAGAGTACAACCTTGGATGGCAACTGGTCTACTACAGAATGAAATGGCAACCTACTGCGGGAAAAAATCTGCCTCGTCAGTCATGTATTGACATGATCGCTTAAGCGTGTATCACGCATGGTACATAACTGACTGAATATTTATGTCAATTTCTCATTATGGCATCTCCACTCTACTGTCTCTTTTCCATAGGCCAACTTGCCGCTACTCTACCGTGACAAATGTTCAGATGTGCTCCATTGTTTAAGTTCCACCAGTTTAGACCTTTAAAGTTAATAAAGTTTTAAAGTTAATACTCGTCCTTCATATTTCAAATGTAAGGAAAAAATATAAATAGAAAGTTTCCATTCAGAATTGATTCTTGAGAAATAACTGCCTGACTCCGGTGAACCCAACAATCTTAACCTCTTCAACTCAAGGGTCAGTAGTTGTCTATCCTCCTTATCCTTATAATCGTCACTCTCTACCATCTCCTCTTACATTCATATCACGCATCTCCTTCATTGTAACAGTAACCCTCTACCTTGAGTAGCTCTCGAGCCTTGTATTGATTGAATTTTGGTTTAAGAAAAAAAAACTTTGTAGCTCTAATGTCGGTTACTCGTTGATTTCCCTCTTGCCTTCAATATGCCATGTGAGTGTCAAATTCTCCGAGGCTTATTTTCTCATTATGAATCTTTCTGATTATGACTACAAGTATCCTTTTCGTTTCTATTATCTTTAAAACTGCCTTCATGGCTTCGTCCATAGCATTCTCATCATCCTTCTGTAAAACCGCATCTCTGCTGTCAAAAGTCTCTTCTTCATCTTTGAGGAAGTTGTCCCGCATTCACTGTCACATAGGAAGATTACATAGTAGCATTCTTTTACAAGTTTATACCCGTACGAATACCGAAGTTAAGCAACGCCAAGCCTGGTCAGATGGGTAACCACTGAGTAATGCCAAGTGCGGTAAGCTTGGATGTGCGGTTGTAATGGATTATGGCTTGGAATTGTTAATCGGAGACCCGAATCCCAATTCCAGTTGGGCTCGTTATATTCACTTAGACGTAAACATCATTGGGAAAGGCATGAATCCACCTCTTCCCCCCCCCCAGCAGTGGGTTAATTAGTAATACTTGTATCATTAAATTCTTATTATTCCCCCGCCAAATTCTTAAAATCTAAAAATATTTTCTGGCTTTAAATAACCTGCAAAGGGTTGATAAACCGTCGAAAACGAATCAACCAATGAAATACTGATTAGTTACACTGGCATGTCTTTAATAAATATTTACTTTCTCTGGAATATAAATGTATAGAAAGTGAGGGATCAGTTTATATGTTAATTGTAGTATAGCATTTATCCTCCATTTTATATACACATTATTACTTGTTTGTTTATCAAATTCTGATTAGGTATGACTCTACCTCTTCTCCCCCCCGCTATGGATTAATTAGTAAAACTTGTATCACTATATTATTATTATACCCCCCACCACCAAATTCTTAAAATGTAAAAATATTTTCTGGTTTTTAATAATCCACAAAAGTTTGATGAACCGTATCAAATGAATGAATCAATAAGATTCAAGTCTTTAATATCTAATATCAAATGTAAATGTAAATACGTCATTAAATATGCCATTAAATATACCATTAAATACGCTATTAAATATGCCATTAAATATACCATTAAATACGCTATTAAATATGCCACTGAATTATGCTTGCCTTGCCATTTAGAGATTTTTATTTTGTATGTTTGCTTAGTAAATTAGACTGAAAGTACTGGTTTTCGTTCGATCATCGAAGTTAAGCAGCAACGATCTTGGTTAGTACTTAGATGGGGGACCGCTTGGGAACACCTGGTACTGTAAGGAATAGGGTAATTAAAATCCGACAAAAAATCACCTTTGGGAAGGTGGTAAAAATGGTGGTTTGTACAACGATAGGCTGATATTTCGGATCATATGTTACATCTGCTTGGCAGAGGAACGTTACTGTCAACGGCAAGGAGATACCGTCTCTAAAAAAGAGACCACGCAGATTCTAGTTTCTGTTACGATTGCAAATTGTACAAAATTTTTTCAACTGAAAAAAAGGTATCATTACAGAATCAGCCGACTCAGCATGAAGACGAGGACAACGAGGAGGAGGAGGAGGAGGAAGAATTAGTAGTTTTAAAATTCCCTTTATCGACGGTCGGTGTTCACTGTAAAAATGTTGATTTTCTTTTAAACTTGAAGAAAAAAAAAAAACAGATCTCTTTTTTATTTTCTGGCAAGACTAAAAATATCAGATTTTGAAATCATACCATGCAGCAGGCGCATAAAAAAATTTGGAAAACGATTTAATTTAAAGGAAGTTTTATTTGTTGCGTGGCTAAACTAGGATTTTGACCCCTACTCACTAAAATACATTTCATAAGCGAACACTACTAAAAATAAGAACTAGACGAGAAACATGGACAGTAGAAGGAGAACAGTCTCCTCCCCGTATATTAAATAAAGTGTTCAGTTCGGAATTCCCTGTAGGTTACCCGAATCGACATACACCTGATGAAGACCGGAGGGCAAAATGACCGAAACGTAGTGATAACAGCAACAAAGATGAGGACATTAGTCCGAATGTAAATAGTGTAAATAATGGTAACTTCTTACCTCAAAATTTCAGACAGAAATTATCGTAACTCGCCGCGCATTTGGGAGCATCACCGAAGCGTAATGGTTAGCAAGGTAACTCAACAGGAAATGAGCATTCAGTTCTCAAGCCTTGAAGCATATGAAATCAATCCTAACGTTCCCAAAGCCTCTCTCCTCGGTGTTACTGGCTTTCTGATTTATATTAACGCTCTGCCTCAGAATAGTCTCGAATCTATGCAAATGATGCCACGGTTTATGAGTGCACCTCCAAAAATCTAGATGATCAGAGCCTGGCGGCTGATCTCTCCACTGAGCGACCTCCTACAGCTCAATGGTGACAATGTATGGCTTGTATCATTCAATACCTCCAAAACAAATTCAGTCACGTTTCAACACCACTGAGCCGACCCCAAATTTACTCCAGTCCTGATATTTGCTTGTACTCTCAATGAAGCGCTTTGCCTCGAGACTCTTTGGGGGACAAAATGGCACTCCTGACCTCAAGTGGAGTTTGTATATTCGTAAAAGATGCTGGAAAGATGGTCGGTTCCTTGTATCTCATCAGTAAGCACCTGATTCCTCTGGCTACACTCAGTCTTTACGAGTCAGATCAAACCAAAAATCGAGTATTGCTGTCCAATCCTCGCTTTCCATCCTTGCCAGAAATGAAAAACGTTTACGCGGCCTTGTGGGTGATTGGCAAACTTGGACATTCACACCAGAAAAAAAAACGGCGTGCCAAAGAAAACGGTTTTCCCTTGACACCGGTATTATTTTAACTACTTTCTAACTAAAGGTATAATAAGAGTGAATTTATACATTTTCATTGTACTTGAGATTTGACCCCCCCAAAAAAAAAACAAACAAACTATAAACACTATTTATTTATTAGATTGTTTATTTACACTATTTATTATATTATTTATTGGGATTTATTGGAAAGAGTACAGAGTATTCATGGATAAAGAGCAGTCTTTGCCTATTCTTAAAATTATATATAAAGCTGTCTTTGGGACGTCACTGACAATGACCCGAAACATACAGCATAAATTGTTACAAAATACTTAGATGACAGAAAAATTAAGTTATTGGTCTACCCCGCACAAAGTTTTGACCTAAAGCCATTGAAGATTTATGATCATATTTGAAGAAAAAAGTAAAAGAAAGAAGTCCTTCAGATTTGGAGGAAATAGAAACCATTGCCAAGGAAAAATGGAGCAAAATATCTATCAGTTTGTTTAGAGATCTTGTAAAGAACTATCAATTGATTATTGAGGCAAGAGGACTAATAATTTTGTTCTATAATAAATGTTTTTTGGTGTTTTTTGTATTGTTGTTTGACATTAAAATAAAATAATGTTGGCATCACATTATTTAAATGCATTATTTCATCATTTGTGAAAAAATGCACTTCAAGTTTCCATGAAAATTTGAGGTATTACAGAATTATTTGTAGTTATGGAAGCGGGGAATAATTCTGTCTACACCTGTATATGGCTATTCTACCTGTGTTTCATTAAAATTTTAATTGATTTTCATTTAATTTTTCTTTTTCTTTTGTTAACCAATATGTAACGACTGGATTCATTTTCGTCCACCTATGAATAAAATAGCAAAGTTGACTGGACTCGCTAGAAGTCCAGAAGTAAGAAAACTCTTAATTCAAACCTGAAGAATTTTGTTTGGAAAATTTCTTAGAAACATCACGCCATTTCTCTGTGATTAATGTAAATTGCGGCGTACAAGTCGACCTCAATATTTTTAGCTCAAAATCGTGAATTAGGCTTATACCTACCGTATAGGTCGACTCCCAAACATACGGTAGGCTATCAGTGGCCTAAATCTTAGGCCTACCGGTAAATAAAGTTAGGTTACAGCATGTGATAACCTATGCGAAAACTACATAAATTCACACAACCTACACTGTATACTGAGACACTGACCATAATATATTTCTATATGCGTTGTATAACAAACAACCTACAACACACACCGTCAGGTACCGTATTTCGTATCGGTATAAATTAGCGAACATTCGTCAATTCTGCTGATAAACACATTAAAGTCAACATCAACTACTATAGAAAATAACGGTCATTATTATCATGAAATGGCGCATATGACACTCATACCATACCCAGTTGTCTGAATGGCAGCCTGAGATAAACGGCGCTTCGGTCAGTGTTTACCCTCAGTGTAACAGCTGTTAGGCACGATGGGTGCTGTAGCATTAATAGACTACGGAATTGAAGTTAGGCTACAGTATACGATAACCTGTGCCCAAACTACATAAGGCCATACCACTTAACAGTATATTGAGACACTAACAGTAATATTTTTCTATATGCGTAGTATAACAAACAACCTACGACATACACCGGAAGGCATCGTTTATTGTATTGGTATTACTTTGCAGTGGACTGGAAGAGATCAGCGACAAAGCTCAAGGAATTCAGGTGTTTTTTGGTCCTTACTCACATAAAAAAAAACAACCTAATGTCTTATTCTGTTTTTGTGAGTCGGAATAATAAATACTATCTACATTCCGATAACGCTGTAGGAAATGGTTTGTTAGCAAATATTCACTTTTTTTTCTGAGCTCAACTTACGTTCGGTAAGATTTGGGGTGGGGATTTTACGTATTCCTCAAATGCCGTAGTTGATTTTCTATTTTGCGCTGGACATTTTCCAAATGCAGTTATTCTTCGTTAAAAATAATCGAGCCCCCTCTTAAAAAAAACAAAAAAAAAAAAAAAAAAAAAACGACATCTATCTACAACGCATCTTCTATAATAGCAATTTCCCGCTAAACGAATTTGCTTTTTTTTTTCAGAGTCTAGCTCTAAACTGGAGCGTGAAAAATGATTAGTTCGACGTAAGACTCGAGGCATTAGTTATTTTCAACCGTGTTGGCTATGTTACAGCCTGGCGAGCATCAGACGTTTTAATCTCACAATCAGTTCTTTATTAACGTTTTGAAATGTCAGGCGTCTTCTCGCATTATTGGGTGATGAATTATTTTTCACCCTCCAACCTCTTTCCCAGTGATGAAACATCGAAAGCCTCTCGTTGCTCTGTCGCTGTTTCCATGGAAAGTGCTCAGACGAACTACATTCCTTAGTTCCACCAGTTTTAACCTTCACGGCTAGGACCCGCCATTCTACACGGATTGTGGCGAATCAACCTCATTTCTTCCGTATTCCAAATGGTGAAAAATTGGTTCAACTTTAGCAATGCATTCTTATAGGAAAATCATTTGCAATGCATTTTTATATCAAAATCATTTACAATGCATTCTTATAGTAAATTCATTTGCAATGTATTCTTATATTAAAATAATTTGCAAAGGATTTTTATAGTAAAATTATTTGTAATGCAATCTGATAGTAAAATCATTTGCAATGCATTCTTATATTAAAATCATTTGTAATGCAATCTTATAGGAAAATCATTTGCTATGCATTCCTATAGTAAAATCATTTGCAATTCATTCTTATAGTAAAATCATTTGTAATGCATTCTTATAGTAAAATCATTTGTAATGCATTCTTATAGTAAATTCATTTGTAAAGAGCCGTTTCCATTCAGGAAACATTAGGTTTTCATTGACCAAGCAGTTAGCATAAAATCTTTTTCTTAATTCAGTTTTCCAGGTAATTTGTCTTCTCAAATTTTTACAACAGCCTGATTAGGCCTAAAATGGAGTACCATTGCCATAGATGGACAAGAACTGACCATTCTTTGCTTTCCAGTCTCGCTAGAGTCTAAAAGTGTTCCTGTGTCTTTATGGGTAACAAATTATTTTCCACTCTACAACCTCTTTCTCACAGACAAAATGTTGCAAGCCTCTTGCTGTTCACTCATTATTTCTATGGAAAGTGTTCAGACGAATTACATTTCTTATTTTCACCAGTTTTGACTTTCACAGCAAAGACCCACCATCCTAAGCACACACTGTAGCGAGCCACTTTCGTTCTCTTCGTATTCCATTGGTGAGATGTAAGTTCCATTCAAGCTGTTTCTTCCCACGAACCGCTGCTTTGTAGAATCGACTCCCAAGAGGATGCTTCCTCGATCACTACAATCTTAACCTGTTCAAGTCTAGGGTTAATAGTTATCTTCACATATCCGCATAAACTGTGTCTCTTACTCTGTAACTCTCTATCACTAGTGGCTCTTGTTTGTTTGTCTGGTTGTGTTTAACGGCATATCAACATACGTATGGGTCAGTTAATGCCGAAATTAAATTGGGAGCTTTGAAGTAACAAAAATATGATATATGTTATTCTGCTTTCACAGTTGAATACATGGTAGATGATACGCAGCTTTTGTACATATATATGTTTGTGTGGACATAATTGCTAGAGGCGGTGATATGTGTGTTTTATGTTGCAGTTTTGTCAAAGTTATATTTTGCAATACAGTTTGATTTCTTTAAGAAATTGTAAGATATTATATGGATTAATGCCATAAAAGAGTTCCTTCATGTTGGTGTTTTGGTTGATTTTATTTCGGGCCATATCAACCTTTATGGGTTATTTAATGGCGAAATCTAAATATTTTGAACACAACTCCAGATAAAATGCCTACTATAACTATGTATCGCTGGTAATTTTACTATAAAAATGTATTTTTATACTTTAATAGTGTTTTGTTTTTGTTTGGGAGTTCACTATTTGCCCATAGCTGGGACCCTAACAGGTGCTACCACCCCGAGTCAAGATCGACCTGGTAACAACAGCAATAAACAGGTGGTGCAAATGGCTCTTGAACCTTGTACAGCGTGAATATCATTGTAAAAAAGATGGGAGTTTTCATTTTTCTGACAGCATTTCGACGTTTTTAGGGTGCATATCAGGGTCATCTTTAAGGCATAGGCACATTGCTATGGCCCCCATGCCAAAGGGGGAACCAAATAAAAGTCTGTGTAAAAATAAAATAAAAATCAGATGTTAAAAGTGTGGTGTAGATTTAAGCTAGAAAGACCCATGAAAATGTCACGGTTTTCCTATTTGAATATTTTAATGAATCTTAATTCTTTTGCAAATGATTGAATAAGCTCATGGCGAGTTCTATGACAATAAAATATCTGTCGAAATTCCCCTAATGCATCGTTAAATATTTGAGCTTAACAACTTTAAGAAAAGTTTAATTCGTAATAATTCCTAATCGGATGTTAACTTAGGAGTTTGTTTTACAAAATAGTAGTTCTTGGGGGTTTAGAATGCTGTCTGAGTGGAAGATAGTCGAACAGAGTCACATGTCTAAAGATGGAAGTCTCGCGGGAATAAACGAGATTGGGAAAGTTCTGTTTATTCTTATCAAAGAATTTTGAAAACTTTGCTTACTCTTTCGTAATTTTCGATGAAGCAGAAGCGGCACCAATTACATGATTTCTTTTTTAAAAAATTCTATGTTCCTTTAGACGTAGGCGATCATGGCTCTCCACAGGTTCTATTTCTTTATTATTTGTGAATTTCCATGACTTCCTGGGAAGGTTAGTGATATGGTTCCTAGTTGCCACCTCCTCGGTTTTGAATCCATAGTTGTCATTCCTAGACTGGCTGACACCCAAGGCTATATATCGCATATCTTCTGTTAGACTGGTTGACACGCAAGCTTCTGAAGACCAAGCTCTCCTGCTGTTTAAACACAACAGAGCAGGACAGGGATTTGAACTCAGCTCGCTGATTCCACGGTCTTCGCTGATAAGTGTGAAAAAAATGTATGAGACCTAGCTGCCAACCTAGTACTGCGTTTAATTTCATAACATCTAGGTACCATAGTTGAAAGTTCATCAGAACAACTTTTTCTAGAAAAGCTAGAGGGAAGCTATGTTACAGCGGCGAGGAAGTGACTGGTACCGATGTCCGGGACAGACAGGATTATTGAAGGTAAATACACCATTAGAAAAAATGTATCGTACTTGATTACTTACCGAGTCCCGGGAAAAATATGTTGCACACGAGGCATGTGACGGCCACTGGCTTGGACATGGCTGGAATAACATTCCTCAATGTTGCGTCTTTATTATCTGATGGTTTGACTCTCGACTGACATTTAGCGAATGACGGCGGTGGTAGACTACGCATGACATAGGCCGGCATGACTGGTCGGATATATCCGCTGGTATGCATGTCTTTACGAAGGGCCCGCGGCGAAGGGCTCGGTGTAGCCGAACCTCCACTGTAGATCACTTGCATGTCGATAGGCGGGGACGAAGATAATTCGTCTCGGGTCTGAGACGAGGATTGGGAACTAAACGGAGTTTCCGGCTCTAAAAGCTCTATTTACTTGGCTCGGTGTATATGATTTAATAAAACGGAAGTTTCACTTACAGATATGAGTCACGTTGTGAAAGATATGATTGAACGTCCAGAGGTTAGTGGTTCCATGGCAATAATTCGACGATTATTTCGATTCCTGAAGACAAGTAGGCAAAGTAGGCCTCACAGCAACCGACTTTTCTCTTATTTGCTGATTCTCTTAGAAAATATAGTTGATTTTTTTTAAATTACAAAACGAAGATACAAAATAAACCAGTGAAAGGAAAAGATCTTATAGCAAACAATTATCAATAGCACGGATTTTTAAAACTGTTAGTCAAGTATTTAAAAAATATTTTAGTTGCATTTATTAAGCAATTAAAAGGTTCTATGTGAAATGTATGCGATTGGAGGTATCTGTGGACATTTTTTCTAAACGTTCACATGAACAACAGTCTTATATGGCGTCCACCCACTTTTATTTTTTGAAATAAAAACTATTTTTGTTAATTCGGACATTCGTAAGTGAATGTCCAATTGTTGAAGATCTTTTTTTTCTTCTTCAGCGTTATGCAAATTACATGACTACAGAACGTCATTGAACACTGAAATTCCGGCGTTTAAAAATATCAAGACAATGTATCGATTCAGTATCAAATAATGGCGGAAAACTGGAGTTTTGAAAGAAATGGCGGCAAAACACATTGATCATGGTATCAACTAGTATGACAGCGTTAAACAGGTTTGTCCTCTTCTTGCTACATCGTTAAAGGTAGACAATCTGTAAAAAATATAAAACAAGCGAAGAGATTATTTTAAAAAAATTAAATGAGTAATTTACAAAAATCATAATTAGTTTCTTTACAAATCATATATTTTATTTTTGGATAATATGTTAACATATCCCGACAGCTATTAGGGAGATGTGATTAAATATACTTTAATATTAAAAATATTTATTCAGTATTATTATTGTTTAGGTAATAAGCATTATAACATAGCACAAATAGATATATTGTGGAAAAGGAATTTTTGACAATATACGCATTTTTTACGTATTTATACAGGGTGTCTCAAAAAAATGTACTCACACTTTAACTGTCTCTAACATGCGTTTTTTGCTTTTTATGCAGGTGTAATTAATTAATCACAGCATGACAGGAAAACAACTTAGTTTTGGAAGAGAGGAAGTTTGTCCTGAAATATTACTGGAAGACCGAAAACGCCATTGAACTGCAAAGACGATTTAGAAGGGAATTCGCAAAACCGCCACCAATGCGCCGGACTATTGCTCGCATCAGAGACAAATTTGAAGCAGATAGAACCGTACAGAACGTCAACAAGAAACGTTCTGGACGACCACGGACATCCACGAGCCCTGGAAAAGAAGAGCAGGTGGAGGAAACACTCGTTCGATCACCACAGAAATCACTTCGACAAACTGGTTGGGAAACCAACATCTCAAAAGATAGCGTCTATCGCATCCTGAAGCGTCTGTACTGGAAATGCTATATTCCAACACTAATCCATGCTCTCAATGAAGACTATCCTGACCGGAGAGTTCAATTCTGTGAATGGTATCTGGCAAAATGTGCAGAAGATGCAGGGTTTCCACACAAAATTGTGTGTAGCTATGAGGCAACCTTTAAATTAAATGGCTCCATTAATCACCATAATTGCACGTACTGGGGTCCTATAAATCCTCATGTAACACTTGAACACCATGTAAACTTACCAGGAGTAACAGTGTGGTGTGGGATATCCGCATTGGGCATCATAGGACCATTTTTGTTTAACGGAACTGTCACTGGGGAGAGTTACCTCAACTTGCTTCAGGAGTTTGTCGGTTCACAATTTTCAGAGATGTTGGGTGATGACGGCGAGATTTACTTTCAGCAAGATGGAGCACCCCCCACTCCCATCGCGATGTACGAGCTCACCTTGATGCAGCTTTTCCAGACACATGGATTGGACGAAGGGGTACCATTGAATACCATGCGCGTTCCCCAGACCTCACGCCCATGGACTTCTTTTTGTGGGGATATCTCAAAGACAATGTTTATCGCACCAAACCAAGAACAATTGATGCATTGAAATCGGAAATTGAAAGATAATTTCGCGATATTCCTAATGACCTGTTTCGTGTCGTTTGCGAATCCCTTGGTGCGCGTTATCAGCCTTGTCTGGACAATAATGGTCATCAATTCGAACATTTGCGAACATGATTCTTCAATTACATTTTTCTTCTGTATTCGAAGCTATTCCATTTCAACACTATGTTCATAAATAAAGGTTTTCTCGTCATTCAAAGTGTGAGTACATTTTTTTGAGACACCCTGTAGTTATTTTTTAACTGTTATCAAAAACATTTTTGTACGTGTAGTTACGGATAATATTATACATTAATTACTAATTTTTTTTAATTAATAACTATTTGTGCTCAGTTGTTGACATTAATAGCTATCTGTTGATGTGTTAAAATTTTGGAATAATACAATAATAAAAATTTAAATTTCATCTCTCTGATAGATGTCGCAATCCGTAAATAAACGGCTATGTTGAAACTTTGTGCCCGAAAAAATGGAAAAAAAACAAAACAAAAAAACCCCTCAAAAAACAAACAAACGCTGTTTCAAAAGGACACTAATTCCTTTGACATCGCTATTACTGTATACCCTTTTGACTCCCTAAGCAATGTTTATTTTTATAAAAAGAACTGATTAGAATTTTAATAAAACCTAAACACGATAAATATATTTATACATTTTCTGTATTCTTGAGAATTGACAAAGATGTTAAACACTATTCACTCTTTTATATTTACGAGATATGTGAACCAACTATAATGAAATATTTATTATTTACCATTTTATAAAGAAGTAAATATGAAAAGAAATATGTTTCATATCTGTCTATATCTCTGAGATGAGGTATTATGATTACTTACATTATTTACATTATTCGGACTGTTATCCTCATCTTCATTGCCATATTCACAACGTTTCGACTGTTGCACGCTCCGGCCTTCTTCAGGTGATCGGAATTTCGAACCGAACCCTTTATTTCTTGAAGGACACATGGCCCGGTGTATAAAGACGTTGATTAGATCCAGTGACTAGACCCAAAGAGTTGGGAGTTCAATATCAGGCTGAACCAAAACTTGAGGAGTTGAGTTAACGAGAAATAACTGAGACATCCGGAAGAGGCACGGCACGTGGAACTAGAACATTCTACCCCCTCGACGGACCTTTGAAGCAGGCCGGAGCGTACAACGGCCGAAACGTTGTGAATATGACAATTACGATGAGGATAACAGTTCGAATAATGTAAATAATGTAAGTAAATATTTTCCATCCATAAATTTATAAAAATGTCCGTAAACAAGAAAATTTAAATAAACACATAATGATGAATAAACATAAATTTTGAAAATTTTGATATTTCTTTTAGTTGCTCTCGCCACATAAATTCACTAAAATAGGTTGAAGGCATCTCTTTCTCTTACATATTTTGATAATTTTGTAATTTTTTTAATAATTTCTTTGAATAAACGGATTTCTTTTCAAGTTTATTTCTTTATCAAAGGTAAATAATTAATATCGCATTGTACTTGGTTCACATATTGTTATAATCTTCCAAATAGACGTTTCCGGGGAATCAAAAGTCTATACACTAATAGCGGTGTTAAGGGAATAACCGTCCTTTTGACACACCCTCATTTTTTTCTGTCACAAAAGTTAAACATTGCCGCCAAATAAACTCTATACATCAGACATATATCTATATATACCAACAGTGGATAATTGAATGACAAAATGCAAAAATCCTGTTAAGCGTTTCGGCCTTCCAAAGGAAAAAAAATGATGCTTTTATCTATGACATCACACACACACACACACACACACACACACACACACACACATATATATATATATATATATTTCAAAAAATTCAACTTTAGCGTTGAGACCGCACGCTCCTAAATTTCTCACAGTTAACAATAACACATTTCTAAAAAACATATTTCGATTCACATCTAATCTTTCGTGTCCCGTTATTACCTAGATGTATTTAAAAAAACAAATCATTTTCCATGCCTGATGATGTCTGTATGAACAGATGAAAGTACTTGTAAAAAAAGACCTTATACAAGTTGAATTTATTAAAAACAGGGATCACAACATTCATCTAGAGGTTCGTGGGTTAATGTAATTTTAATAAATTTGTTTGCGAAGATGTATTCTCGCCATTTATATCATTAACTTCACTAATCTGTTTTTTTTTTGTATGAATGATTCGTGTAATATATATATATATATATATATATATATATATATATATATAATATAGAAAGAAAGAAATAAAGAAAGAAATAAAGAAAGAAGGCACGGTGGTGTAATGGATAGCGGCACGGATTGAAGAATCGGAGTTCGTGCTAATATCCTTAGGAATGAATCCTTCTTCTTCCCCAGTCTATGGATAAATAGCAGGACAAGCCTTCACTACTATAACCAAATGATTTGTGAGGGTGGTTTGGTTATCAGTTTCTAGGATCTGAGTTGCTTGACACTCATACGTCGAAAACGACGAGAGAGTCCATTATATATATATATATATAATAGTAATAATATTATAAATATAAGAAATTATAATCGTCCGGAAATCCTTGGGTGCCTTGATGTGTAAATAAACAGACCAATACCCAAGGAAAAATAAACGTAAAAAAAAAGTAAGAACAAAGAATATGTACGTCAGTCGAAGACAATCGTCTAACATCCAAGTTCAGAGTCCAAATAAAAAAACCCCGATACGAGTAAGTAAAAGTGCTCAATATGCTAAGTAGAGCAAAGCTAATTAAATCTAAAGAGCCAGACAAACCTACCAAGATTTCACCTACGCGGATTGTCAGGGAATACTGATATATATTAGCAAGGGACAAGCATAATTTCTTATTTAAATTTAAATTACAAGACATATTGGTGTAAATTCAATAACTAAAAACAGCCGGTTTCGTCCCAGCTTATCAAGTTTTATTTTAGAAATTAAGAAAAACATGTAAGTTAATTTATAGGATGACAAATGTGGGAAGAAAAAAATTTATGGAAAACTATAATATGCGATTTTTTGGG